AAAAAAAAAATTTAACAAAATTTTTTTAATAAAAAAATTCTCAAAAATTATTACTTTTGGTTGATTTTTTATTTCTTCTTATTTTTTTCTCTTAATATTTAAAATAAAAAAATGAACGATAAAAAAATTATTTTTTTCTTAGTGTTCTCTTGTTGTCTTTTTCTTTTCTTTTTTATGTAATCGCACGCATACTGTCAATGTAATGAGGTGAACTAAAATTTATGACAGATAAACTTAATTCCATTTATTTTTTTTTTATTTCTATGCTGATTTTATTTATTTATTTTGATTTTTTATATTTAATTATAAAAATAGAACTTCTCTTATACAGTAAGTATACATACACACATATAAATATAGTAAAAGTGAACGGCAACACAGAATAAAAAATTGATAAGATTTTAAAATTGGTTTTTTATTTATGCAAAATTTTTTGATTAAAAAAAAAATTTTCGATTTTAGCGACGGTAAAACGGTAAAATAAGGATTTGAGATTTTTTTTTATATGGAAAGGAAGTGCTGTTTATTGAATTAAATTGATTTATTTTTAATCAATTATATGAGATATGAGAAATGCTCCGATTTGGTCCGATTTTACAAAAAATCAAAATAATTTCAAATATTTACGGGGAAAAATTAAACATTAGAGAGCTTTTGTTACCTGATGTCGATAAAATAGAAAATAGTTTGTATTAACGAGATTATAAGTAATCTCGTTAATACAATCGGACAAATTATACCATGCAAATACGTGCGGGGGTTAAAATGCGTATTGGCAATGCAAAGTTGTTGTAAAATGAATAAAATATTATGTAGCGTGTGTTATGTAGTGCAGTGCAGTCTGTTGTAAAATTCATGAAATATTTTTACAGACGGCAACTTTATACATATATAATTTTATATTTTGATGGAAACGAGTATATCTGAACCCCCCTCCCCCACCAACCAATACAATTTTTTGCTGAAATGGATCAAAGAATCATTCTTAAAATTATGTGCCACCTTACATGAAATATCTTGTATAATATTATTGATCGTCCCATTCATGCTAGGTAACCATAGTTTAATGAAATAATGGAGTGTGTGTGATATAATTCGTGACGTTCAAATATCACTGGTACCAATTAAAGCGAACTAAAGATATAAACAAACCAAAAAAAATGAATAATATTATTGACATTTACATGACCTTTCAATAAGCCAAAAAAAAAAAAGAGTTTTTTTTTTAAGTTTTTCCAACTTTCTTAAAAAGCTGATTTATAGTCGCTTCTTCGCCTGCTTATTAAAATATTATTGTGTGACATGACACAATTTGAATATTACGAAATATTCAAATTCTTATTGAAATCTCGAAGAAAAATGTAAGTCTACAGATCATGCTTGAATTCAATGACGAATTCAAAAATTCTCCATATATTTAATTAATTTTAGAACAGTAAGTGAACCAATATACAGTATATTTTCTATACTATACTATATAAAATGAAAATATACTGTGAATTTTTTCTATCCGGAGCTAGGAAATTTTTCTTATAATTCAAACGCTATTCAAACAGAGACGGATTTTATCACTTAATTAAAATTGGAAAATTTATTCGTTTTAGTAATTTTATTTTCAAGAATATACATATTTTAATATTTATTATATAATAACATTGTTTAACTTAGACTCTAAATAAACTCATCGACGTAATTGTCCAGTATTACTGTATAGTATAGCAACAGATTTCTAAAAAAACTGGCCTGTAAAGGAATGGGGTTTTTTCTAATATTCATGAAAAGTATCATTCTCACTTAGAGACTCAATTCTACAAAACAAAAATCTAATAATTGAACACCTGGACGGCGACAACGATCTAATAAATTGTAAATTAGGCTATACGATATTGTAGCTATTCTAAAAATTAGTTTAGAATAATAAATTGTGAATAATATTTTGTATGGCCATTACATCTCTAAAACAAGTATAACAATTTGGGATAGAAATGAACACAATATAGAGTCACACAATGAAAAAGAACTTCTATAATTTTTCACAGTCATCTAAAATTCAAATATCCAGATAAAATGTGGTACACATAAAGAAGGTGAATTCATTTTTGAATAATACATACAAAATGTTTTAATTAAATTAAATTGTTGAATAAAAATGAAATATGTTTAAAAATAAAAAAAAAAAAAATAGCAAGAGAAAAAATATTTTGTCAAAAATTAATAAATTTAATAAAATAATTTTTTTTGCTTTTTTTTTTAATTTGGTTTTTGTTCGTCTCGTTTTTAACATTTCTCTTGAATTATTTATTATAAAATATATAGGTGGTTGACTTGAAAATTGCATTTAACCCTTATTGGGCGCACGGGGACATATTGATTTTAAATTGAGAAAATAAATGTTAAGAGAATTTTGAACAGGTCCGTACTACTTTTCGATGTTTCCAAAAATTCGTCATGAACAGAGCACCTCCCATGCATGAACACAAATTTTTGAATATATTTTTGAATATTTTACAATTTTACGTGTTTTGATTCGGAAGAACAAAAGAACCGGGGGATGATTCCAACTAAATATTTTTTGACACTGATCTCCTTTTAGTAGCTCTAAGGAGGATTTAATATTTTTATTATGTTAAGATTGAATTAGAAGCTTTTGGTTTTATGTGCTAGATCAAGCATAATCAAATATTTAATTTTTTTTTTTTGTTGCACGTACTTAATTAATTTTTTTAATTCTAGCACTTCATCTTCAATTGTTTAACTGGGCTCACAAGAAGTATCTGGTGACTGATTGTGTGATCTTGTTACTAAGGGGTTAACAATTTAAAAATTATTTTTTTTTTAATATTTCAAAAATGACTGAATTTTTTTCTTACATTATTAAAATGCTAAAATAGAAAAAGTTAAAATATTGCATTTAATAAGTGTGCATTTAAATGATGCTAAATTAATTAAAACATCAAGGAATTCGTTGAAAAAAAAAAATCTCATATCAAAAGAATTAAAAACAATATAGAAAAGAAAAAAATAAAAAAATAAAACAATTATATTTTTTGACTTATTGGCAATTACAAAAGAAATTTTAAAGAAATATTTGAAAAATAAAATAAGAGAGAAATGATTTTTTGGCCTATTATTTTTTGAATAATTGAAAAAAATTCTGAAAGTGAAAATTAAATTAAAATTAAATTTAAGGTGAACATTTTTATTCAGGATAACTAAGTACAACGTAACTGAAGTATTTAAAATTTCTTTCTTTTGTGGAATGAAAGACTATAAGCAAAAGAACTATAAAAAGTCTTTATGAACCGTTGAAATTCGACACCTAATTTTAGACAAATATTTTACTTTTCTTTGATGCTATAAACAATTGCATGTATTAAAGCCGAGTAACCTTCATGTAAGCAAACATAATATATGAATAAGAAATCCTATTAACTCTTAAAAATTTATTACAAATATTGAGGTTCTGCAAAACAATTTCGGTAAAAATTTAAAGTTTGAAATAAAATATTCATTATTCCTTCTCAACCTTCTCTCTTAAAGAAAAAGGAATTAAAATTTTTTAAATAAATAATTTAAGAATCTTTGTTAAGTAATTATGTATGTGTATATGATCCTGAAAATGGTCCAGTATACATTAGAAAGTGTTGTTAATCTTATAAATTAAGGTCAAACACATATAGAGCGAGGGAATCATATTGTATGGCATAAAATCTCTGTTAGGTTTCTATTGAAAAACAATTTTATTAGAGAATTTATATCAAGTAGACATTTATTCCAATTCTCATAACTCTCTCTCTCTTCAATTAATATATTCGTTTATTTTTTTAAATTAATTTATTTTAGTAGTTTTTAATAGCTCATTAACCTACAAATATCGGAGGCTTAAAAGGACGACTTAAATTGATTATCTGCAAAAAAAATATTTTTTCAGAAGTCGCAATTCGATATTTCGCCAGCATAACACTTAAGTTTCCTATACGCTATTGAAAATCTATTAATATTGTACACTGAAGTATTTAGCCGGCGATTTACAGAAGTTTTCAAAGGTATTGCTCTTAGTGGTTAATAAACAAACAATATAATAAAATTTTAGAAGTAGAACGCGGCATATTGCATCGATATTATTTATCTAGATCACATTTTCCTCAAAAATTTGAAATTAAAAATTTATTCTTAAAATTTAAACTTGATATGCGTAGATATTTTAACCTATGAGTTTAACACTAACAAATTTTATAATTTTAATTCGAATGAATTATAATTACATTCAATAATAAATTTCTTTGCAAACCTCATTAATCATTCTACATCCAATTAATATTGCTCTAATCAAATATACCAACTTAATAATTTGAAACAAAAAATTATTAAAAAAATATTAATATAAGTAATAGTAAAATATTAATTAATTAAAAAAAATTAGTATTATAACGGTTGTAATCAGTTAAACTCAATCTGCAAATTTTAAAAGAATATGCATACAATGAAAATGGATTCTAAATACATCGCACTCATATAAAATAAAATTGGGTCATATTTTAAAAATTTGCTGTAACGTAGAATTTATTAATATTTTATAATATTTTACGATATTATAGAAGTATTTTATTTCAGTTTACTATTGAAATTTAAAAACCGTAATTAACGGTAAAAATTTTTTCTAATTACAATAATGGCAGTAATTTAAATTAAGTAGTAATTTCTAAAAAAAAAATTTTTAGTTAAATTTTAATTTAATATTAAAAAATTATATTACATATAACGTAAATTTAATTGGACAAAATTTTTAATACACAAAACATAATATCGTAAAATCATCAGGGTAGTTCAAGATAAAATTTATTAAAAAGCTGCGTTCCACAATTACTTTTGAATAATTCTTGCCGCATATTATTCTTGTGACAGCACATTTATTCTATACGTGCGACATACACTTACATACATAAAACCTGCATAATAATATAAAATTAAAATATATTGGCAAATATATACATATGTACCTGGTAACTTCTGATCACTAGAAATTTGTAAATTTTAATAATAAAACACTTTTAAAAAAATACTAATTAATTATTTTTTTAATTTTAGTAAATTAATTGCGATTGATAAGTGGTATAAAAATTAATAAATTGTACTTTAATTTGTATTTTTTTTTCCTTGAAAATTTTACTCGAATTTTTTTTTTTTGGTTTTTATAAATGTTTAATTATTTTAATTTTATTAATTTTTATTTTATTATAAATTAGCATGTTTAAGTGCCTGTTTTTCAAATTTGTTATTTTTTCGTTAAATGCACTTTGAAAAATTTATTTAATAAAATTATTTAAAATTGTTAAAATCATAATACGAGTATAAATTTCGAGGCAAATATTTTATTTCTTGCACTTAATTAATTTTTTAAATATTTTAGAATTGAAAATATAAATTTTTTCTTTTTTGTAATTAATTTCTTAATTAAATCACATAACTGTAATTTAATGTACCATTTTATAAAATATTTTTTATATAATTTTATTTTAATTATTTTTAATTTAATAAATAATATGGGTGAGAGGCGGCGGCGCATATTGTAATTATTGCAACGCGGTTAGCAAAAAAAAAATTTTTTTTTTATTTCACATTTCCTTCTATATAAAAATTATTTTTTTCTTGTTTCAGAATTTTTGATTTTTATTATTTTTCATATTGTATTTATTACATAATATACTAAATTTTTATATATATATACGATATTTTATATATATATATATATTTCTTTTTTATTTTCTTATTTTTTTTTGTTTGTTTCATAAGATTTCACTTTCATTGTTTATTTTTATTTTGTATAGTTTTAAAATATTTTTTTTTGTTCAGTTTATTTTGTGTGATAATTTTAATTTTATTACCTGTTTTTATCAAATAAAAAAATATTTATAATTTAAGAAAAAAAAGAATTTAATATTTTATTTTATAATATTAAAAAAAGTAATAATTTTCCTGGTTTTTGTTAAAATAGTTAGACAGCCAAATTATTTCAAAATTAATAAAAAATTTATAATAATTTTTATTTTTTAATATTTTTCTTTTTTTTGCAGTCGTATGATTCTTTTATTATTTTTTACTAAATATTATTATATTTTATACTTATGTACCTATTATTTTTTATATATATACAATATATTGTATTTACTTATTTATTTATGCATGTATATATATATACATAGAGATATATGTGTGTATCAATCTTATATATAAATCCAACCGACGCGATTGTCTAAATACAACTGAATCTTTAAATTCATATACATTAGGCTTTTATGAATGAAATTTCAACTACAAGTAATCTCAAGAAAAATACTACCTATATACTTAATATTTATTGTATATTTATTGCTTAAATTATGTATTATACATATTATTATATTTATTTATATATATCATACAAATATACATTTTTTGTATATATGAATATGTAAAGTAAAATATCAGAGTATGATTTCAATTTTAAATATTTATACAGCTTTGTGTATATTAATGTTATTATAAAATATATAGCGATATTTAAAAATATTATATTATATACTCTTATAAAAGTAATAACATTTAAATAAAAATAATATAAAGCGAGTAAAGGTATAGCTTACAATACATATACATATATTGTATGTACTTGTGTTAGTATTAATATGATAATTCAAACGATTATCATCCATTGAAAATTTATTGTATATTTTCCATTTCCCTTAAAACTTTCATTATTATTATTCTCTTAATTTCTATTATGAATATTATAATTATTATTATTATTATTATTATGTATTACTCGATTTTTTTTTTGAAAATTATTCGTCATTATATTATTATTATAATAATATTATTATACACCCGGCTTTTAATAATGTATAAGTTAAAACAAAAAAAATATGCGGTATGCATTGGTATTTGTGAATTTTTATCAAATGAAAATTTTATTACAAGAGAAAATTAGCTATAAACTATAGAGTATTTGCTTAGAAAATTGAGATTGATACAAAAGCACAAAAAAAATAATTTCTCTTAAAAACAAGTAAGAAAATTTTTATTTATTATTTTTATTACTCTTATTTTACTACTCTTATTTTGTGTATGAAAGAGAAAACAGAATTTGGGAACAGTTTTTCATTTTGTAGTTTTTGTTGTTTTTCGAAATTAAATTTTCATAAATAAAGAGAATATATTTTTTTCAAATAAGAGAATATTAATATGGTTCTCTTAAATTTAGAATTTTTTTTTCGGTTGAAGTTTTATGAATTTAATTCAGTATCTATTGAAAAGATTTTTGTTTTGCAAGTAGTTAGAATGAATAATTGTGTGATTAGCGTAGATAATCATACTGCAGATTCTAATTATGCTATAAAGTATGTAAACATTTTCCGTATTCTTATTGAACTAGGCTAGTAAAATGAAAAAAAAATCTTCAATAAAGGATAAGATTTCTACCACTTCTATGGCGATTAATCCACTTAGAATATAAAAAGATTATAAGTAAAGCTACTAAGACTTGAGATAATTTCTAAAAATATTTTTATTGAAATTATTCAATATCAGAACAAAGTTGATGATGGCCTTATTATGCCGTAAATGTAACAAAATAATTTAGTGAAAAAACATAAAGCATAAAAATTAAAATAAATAAATATGAAAATGAAAATTTTTTTTTTTGGCTAGTATAACAGTAAACATGTCAAATTATTTAACAAATAGCTTAAAGACAATTTTTTTTCCGCCACACATGTCAAAACCCTGCACGTGTAAAATTAAAAAACTTTTCCATTAGTTTTTTTTTTCTATTTGTGTGCTATCGTGAAAAGTTAATACCGCCGGAACAACTTTTTCATTTGGTTACAAAATGTCTAGTAATTTGTCCACGTCACTCACCCATTATACGCGAATTAAAATTTTAAATAGTAATTTTTTGATTTATTTTAATTAACAAGACAGGTGTTATTAGTTATAAACATGTTGTGAATTTAACAAAAATATTCAGTAAAAAATAAAGAATGCGTGTCGACATGAAAATACTTTGATTTCTATAATCTCGCTAACAAAAAATGTTATCTGCTATATCGAAACATACATAAGCAATTAAGAGTTATACATAATATACTTTTCATTAAAAATAAATTTATTATAAAGCCTACAAGTGAGTTCTCAAAATTAAATTGAAAAAATTAGTGTATTCCGAAAATCTTTTCAAGGGAGTTTAAAAATAAATCAGAAATATAAATATTCGAATATGGAGTTTTCTTTTTGTCACTTCGTACATGGAAGACATTAAAAAATACCATCGAGTGACCTATGAAGCTAAATTCTCACCACACATCCCTAAATATTTCTTTTTTTAACTAAAATTTAGTTTGGAATTCCGAAATAATCTGGAAAATGTTATAATATACCAAAATGTAAAATTAATTTTGAGCAATTCAACGACATGATTTTTGGAAGGCTATTTAAATAAATTATGAACATTTTCTTTAGTTACGTGTAAATTTGAGATTTCATTGTGATTAGATTTAGTAAATTTCATAGATCTGAATCAGTTCACTAATGGAGTTTTAAATGTAACTTCACAGTTCTAGTCAAAAGACTATTTTCTGTTATGGCAGATCGGATGTGCTTGTTATAATAATTAGCACGAATAATTAACAAGAACACCTGTGAAAAAATAAAGCCATCAATTTAATGATTGTGAATTAAGTCCGAAAAGAACCAAAATATCGTAAGCGCTTATGACATAAAAATGACTGATACTTTCTTGGAATGCTTTATTAAAAGAAATTTTAAATAAGACGTAAGGGGTTCGAATATAAAATCTTGACAATTTCCTATTGTTCATTTTGAGAAGCTTGAAAATTTTTTGCTAAAATTAATCATTTTTACATTTTTCAATTAATTCACTTAATTTTCACTCAAATTAAATAAATAAACGCTCAAAACAAAATAATGAATCCAAAGGTATTTTAATTAAAACTTTTAAAATAAAGAAAATTAATTACTTTAAACACCTCCCATTCAAGGCTACTTTCAATAAAGAGACTTATAGTACGTACTTATTCAAAATTTACAATTTGAGCTCAATATCAAGATATAGCTCATGAATTTTCAGTATACGAGTGAAATTTGATGAATTTATTAACTGTTAAGTTTCCAATGAAAAAACAACTCTCTGATCTCATCTCTTAAAATTAATGAATGAATTATTGCACCGTTATATTTTAATAAATAAAAAACAGAATCAAGGAAAATTTAATAAAATAAACGAGAATAAAAATTGAAAATATAAAAATGGGTTTGGCGCAAGCGCTATTTACCCAATCACATTATAAATTTCCCCAAGTTTACCGTTTTCTCTAATAAAAATTGTCAAATATAAAAAAGAAAGGAAAAAATAAAATAAATAAATAAACGCCTAGTGGAATATTTTATTTATATGAAAAAAAAAAGAGTGGGGAATCTTGTTTTTTTTTTCAGTTTTCTATGCTTTCATAGTGTTGAAATACAATTATTTCAAAAGAAATCACTTTTATTTAAGTGTGTAACACAAACATATATACACAAACAATATACTTATACATACAGTAATTATTTGTGTGATAACAGGTTGTTGTTTATTTATGGTGCTGACAAATGTGAATATTGTGAGTGCATGTGTATTTTGTAGATGCATACAAGAGAAAGAGAAAGAACAGAGAGAATTCTCTGAATTTTGATAAGAAGATCGCATTTTAACAAATTTATGTTTGTGTGTGTTCATTTCAGTTTTTCATACCTGTTGAGTTCACTCAAGAGATCATGGAAAGATCTTTTTTAGCTACATAGTTCAGAATTATGATAGTGTTTGTGTAAAAGGATAAATATGTATATTATTGTCACACATAAGAGTAAATTAAAAATAGAAATGAAAATTTAATTTTCTTTTTCAAATGAGAGAACAAAATTCATGAATAATCGGTGAAAAGCTTTGTTTTGTATGTATAAGTCTCATTTATAATTTGTGTTTGTGTTGGTATAACAGCTGATTCATATTCAATTTATAGTTAAATATTTTTATTTATACAAATTTGTTGCATTAATTTTTATATATGTACGCAGATTGTAATGTGTTTATAATGTATGT